CTAACCAGTTTATAACAGGCCACAAGATCCCCCCTCAGCCTTCTCTTTTGAAGGCTGAACAGGTTCAGGTCCCGCAACCTTTCCTCATAGGACCTACCCTGCTGTCCCTTGATCATACGAGTGGCCCTCCTCTGGACCCTCTCGATGTTGTCCACATCCCTCTTAAAGTGCGGCGCCCAGAACTGGATGCAGTACTCCAGCTGCGGCCTGACCAGTGCCGCATAAAGGGGGAGGATCACCTCCTTGGACCTGCTTGAGATGCATCTGTGAATGCACGACAAGGTGCAGTTGGCCTTCCTAGCCGCCTCCCCACGTTGCCGACTCACGTTCAGCCTCCTGATGCAACTTCATAAGTTGAAATCAAGGGAGGCAGTGAAATTAGTGACCACTTCTTTAAAACAAGCAAAAGAGCAGGGTCTCCTCATAGAGAGGTCTTTAGTCTTGGAATGTAATACTATTCTTGGGCCTAGGCTTTTCCAGAGAGGACTGATAGGTGCTAAATAGAGCTATAAGATATTAATGGCTATCAGTGACTTTTCTGATACTGTCATTTTATATAAGCTTGTAACTTAACTACTGTTTCAGGACCAGTTTAAAGCAATTCTGGATGTAGGTTCCCTATTAATCCAGGGCTCTGCCATTGTGGTTTTAGCCCTGTGCCATGATCTGAGGGCAACTTGGAGAGGTAGGGTCATTGCCAAAAGGCTTCTTCTCCGTTCCCACCCCTTCCCCACCACTAAAGTCATAGCATGCATCTTGAAAAGAGCAAGAGGCAGAGTTAACAGTAAGGCAACTCGCAGTACTTTTTCACTGCATTCCAATAATTATCAAAACACAGAGAATGTACTCTAACAGCCTGGCTCTGCTATCTTTACTCATGTATAGAAATACCTCACTGAAAGGCAATTTAAACCTGCAGGCTGAAAGCCTTAACTCTAAGCATGGCAAATAGTCTCAGGCATAGTGCAGAAAGCGAAGTGTGTATACTGCATTTACCTGAATTCAAGACTATTTCAATTTAAGATGGTAGGAAGACACACAGCAGGGGAGTCAAGCAACCTGACTGGCCATGCTGCAGCAAGGAGTTGGAGAGCCACAATTCAGGGTAAGCAGCAGTGGCGGGGAGGGGGAAGTTAGATGGCATGGTGGGAAGCAGAGGTGGCACGGGGGATGCAATGGCCCAAAACAAAGGTGGCAGAGCAGTGTGGGGAGGAGGGAAGGGCAGTAGCTATGACTTGACTCTGGGCCCTGGTTGGGATGAAGCTAGAGTTGCAGCAGCAACCTGTCCCCCCTGCACCCCTCCCCCCCCTTTTTACTCAAATCCAAGACAAGGGGCTTTTCTCCCCATGCTGAATTGTAGATTCAAGTAAATGTGGTAGTTAGAAGTTTGCAGGATTCTCGTAGTCTGTCATTTTTTTCTTCTGTGTGCAGTGAGATAGAACTGAAAACAGCTAGAGTGTTTGACAGCTCTTTAAGCATTCATTGAATCATGTGGGATACAGGAATCGGAATGGTTCTCCTTATAGTTAGCAGTAGACTGAGT